TAGGGTTATAGGGGATCCACTGCAGCAGCAGGTGGGAGTTGGGACTGGACTCTATAGGTGGAACCATAAACAGGGTTAGGGTTATAGGGGATCCACTGCAGCAGCAGGTGGGAGTTGGGACTGGACTCTATAGGTGGAACCATAAACAGGGTTAGGGTTATAGGGGATCCACTGCAGCAGCAGGTGGGAGTTGGGACTGTCCTCTATAGGTGGAACCATAAACAGGGTTAGGGTTATAGGGGATCCACTGCAGCAGCAGGTGGGAGTTGGGACTGTACTCTATAGGTGGAACCATAAACAGGGTTAGGGTTATAGGGGATCCACTGCAGCAGCAGGTGGGAGTTGGGACTGTACTCTATAGGTGGAACCATAAACAGGGTTAGGGTTATAGGGGATCCACTGCAGCAGCAGGTGGGAGTTGGGACTGTACTCTATAGGTGGAACCATAAACAGGGTTAGGGTTATAGGGGATCCACTGCAGCAGCAGGTGGGAGTTGGGACTGTCCTCTATAGGTGGAACCATAAACAGGGTTAGGGTTATAGGGGATCCACTGCAGCAGCAGGTGGGAGTTGGGACTGTCCTCTATAGGTGTAACCATAAACAGGGTTATAGGGGATCCACTGCAGCAGCAGGTGGGAGTTGGGACTGTCCTCTATAGGTGTAACCATAAACAGGGTTAGGGTTATAGGGGATCCACTGCAGCAGCAGGTGGGAGTTGGGACTGTACTCTATAGGTGGAACCATAAACAGGGTTAGGGTTATAGGGGATCCACTGCAGCGGCAGGTGGGAGTTGGGACTGTCCTCTATAGGTGGAACCATAAACAGGGTTATAGGGGATCCACTGCAGCAGCAGGTGGGAATTGGGACTGTACTCTATAGGTGTAACCATAAACAGGGTTAGGGTTATAGGGGATCCACTGCAGCAGCAGGTGGGAGTTGGGACTGTACTCTATAGGTGGAACCATAAACAGGGTTAGGGTTATAGGGGATCCACTGCAGCAGCAGGTGGGAGTTGGGACTGGACTCTATAGGTGGAACCATAAACAGGGTTATAGGGGATCCACTGCAGCAGCAGGTGGGAGTTGGGACTGTACTCTATAGGTGGAACCATAAACAGGGTTAGGGTTATAGGGGATCCACTGCAGCAGCAGGTGGGAGTTGGGACTGGACTCTATAGGTGGAACCATAAACAGGGTTATAGGGGATCCACTGCAGCAGCAGGTGGGAGTTGGGACTGTACTCTATAGGTGGAACCATAAACAGGGTTAGGGTTATAGGGGATCCACTGCAGCAGCAGGTGGGAGTTGGGACTGGACTCTATAGGTGTAACCATAAACAGGGTTAGGGTTATAGGGGATCCACTGCAGCAGCAGGTGGGAGTTGGGACTGGACTCTATAGGTGTAACCATAAACAGGGTTAGGGTTATAGGGGATCCACTGCAGCAGCAGGTGGGAGTTGGGACTGTCCTCTATAGGTGGAACCATAAACAGGGTTAGGGTTATAGGGGATCCACTGCAGCAGCAGGTGGGAATTGGGACTGTACTCTATAGGTGGAACCATAAACAGGGTTATAGGGGATCCACTGCAGCAGCAGGTGGGAGTTGGGACTGGACTCTATAGGTGTAACCATAAACAGGGTTAGGGTTATAGGGGATCCACTGCAGCAGCAGGTGGGAGTTGGGACTGTACTCTATAGGTGGAACCATAAACAGGGTTAGGGTTATAGGGGATCCACTGCAGCAGCAGGTGGGAGTTGGGACTGTACTCTATAGGTGGAACCATAAACAGGGTTATAGGGGATCCACTGCAGCAGCAGGTGGGAGTTGGGACTGTACTCTATAGGTGGAACCATAAACAGGGTTAGGGTTATAGGGGATCCACTGCAGCAGCAGGTGGGAGTTGGGACTGTACTCTATAGGTGGAACCATAAACAGGGTTATAGGGGATCCACTGCAGCAGCAGGTGGGAGTTGGGACTGTACTCTATAGGTGGAACCATAAACAGGGTTAGGGTTATAGGGGATCCACTGCAGCAGCAGGTGGGAGTTGGGACTGTACTCTATAGGTGGAACCATAAACAGGGTTATAGGGGATCCACTGCAGCAGCAGGTGGGAGTTGGGACTGGACTCTATAAAGAGTCTCCTGTGTGAAAACCCCACCTATCGGTTGCACAGGAACCAAGACTGTTCAAGTCTGAAGTCAACTGGACACAAAAAAAATTGGTTGCATTTTGTGTAGAAATGCTAACTGTGGTCACAGAATAGATAGATCAGAATTAGAGCAGGGTGAAACGAGGCTAAGGAGTTAGTCACTAACCTACATATAGCCTTATCAAATGAGAGACGGTCACAACCTAGATCCAGCCTTATCAAATGAGAGACGGTCACAACCTAGATCCAGCCTTATCAAATGAGAGACGGTCACAACCTAGATCCAGCCTTATCAAATGAGAGACGGTCACAACCTAGATCCAGCCTTATCAAATGAGAGACGGTCACAACCTAGATCCAGCCTTATCAAATGAGAGACGGTCACAACCTAGATCCAGCTTTATCAAATGAGAGACGGTCACAACCTAGATCCAGCCTTATCAAATGAGAGACGGTCACAACCTAGATCCAGCCTTATCAAATGAGAGACGGTCACAACCTAGATCCAGCTTTATCAAATGAGAGACGGTCACAACCTAGATCCAGCCCTATCAAATGAGAGACCGTCACAACCTAGATCCAGCCTTATCAAATGAGAGACGGTCACAACCTAGATCCAGCCTTATCAAATGAGAGACGGTCACAACCTAGATCCAGCTTTATCAAATGAGAGACGGTCACAACCTAGATCCAGCCCTATCAAATGAGAGACCGTCACAACCTAGATCCAGCCTTATCAAATGAGAGACGGTCACAACCTAGATCCAGCTTTATCAAATGAGAGACGGTCACAACCTAGATCCAGCCTTATCAAATGAGAGACGGTCACAACCTAGATCCAGCCTTATCAAATGAGAGACGGTCACAACCTAGATCCAGTCTTATCAAATGAGAGACGGTCACAACCTAGATCCAGCCTTATCAAATGAGAGACGGTCACAACCTAGATCCAGCCTTATCAAATGAGAGACGGTCACAACCTAGATCCAGCCTTATCAAATGAGAGACGGTCACAACCTAGATCCAAATATAAAGGGCAGGTCCTGAACAACTGACATTTCCTCACCTTTAACAGACACTCAATGTTCATCCTTACCTCTATTCAAACAACAGTCAATGTTCATCCTTACCTCTATTAAAACAACAGTCAATGTTCAGATAGTGATCTATCCTATAGACAGGGCTCTACAGTGCTAGCCCCTCTATTAAAACAACAGTCAATGTTCAGATAGTGATCTATCCTATAGACAGGGCTCTACAGTGCTAGCCCCTCTATTAAAACAACAGTCAATGTTCAGATAGTGATCTATCCTATAGACAGGGCTCTACAGTGCTAGCCCCTCTATTAAAACAACAGTCAATGTTCAGATAGTGATCTATCCTATAGACAGGGCTCTACAGTGCTAGCCCCTCTATTAAAACAGTCAATGTTCAGATAGTGATCTATCCTATAGACAGGGCTCTACAGTGCTAGCCCCTCTATTAAAACAACAGTCAATGTTCAGATAGTGATCTATCCTATAGACAGGGCTCTACAGTGCTAGCCCCTCTATTAAAAAACAGTCAATGTTCAGATAGTGATCTATCCTATAGACATGGGCTCTACAGTGCTAGCCCCTCTATTAAAACAACAGTCAATGTTCAGATAGTGATCTATCCTATAGACAGGGCTCTACAGTGCTAGCCCCTCTATTAAAACAACAGTCAATGTTCAGATAGTGATCTATCCTATAGACAGGGCTCTACAGTGCTAGCCCCTCTATTAAAACAACAGTCAATGTTCAGATAGTGATCTATCCTATAGACAGGGCTCTACAGTGCTAGCCCCTCTATTAAAACAACAGTCAATGTTCAGATAGTGATCTATCCTATAGACAGGGCTCTACAGTGCTAGCCCCTCTATTAAAACAACAGTCAATGTTCAGATAGTGATCTATCCTATAGACAGGGCTCTACAGTGCTAGCCCCTCTATTAAAACAACAGTCAATGTTCAGATAGTGATCTATCCTATAGACAGGGCTCTACAGTGCTAGCCCCTCTATTAAAACAACAGTCAATGTTCAGATAGTGATCTATCCTATAGACAGGGCTCTACAGTGCTAGCCCCTCTATTAAAACAACAGTCAATGTTCAGATAGTGATCTATCCTTTAGACAGGGCTCTAAAGCTCCTGTGCTGTTGGTTCAGCTGTCGATCACAGATTGGTTGAGTGAATACATGGGAACATTTTGTACTCAGTTATACAATCAGAAGAAGATCCTTCCATGATTTGATCTCATGTAAATATGAACACTAGTGCTGAGCGATGAACCGACATTTCAGTTTTTAAAACAATTAATTGACCGACGTCGGTTTAATTATTTTAATTCCATTTCGTAGTTTTTTCCCCCTGTGAACTATGTACAGACTCTGTAGAGATAAATCAGATCCAGCCTGAACTGGGCGACAGCAGGGAGCTGTAGTTTCCAACAGGCCAATGTTCTACATAGTTTAGCACAGAATTAACTAGATCATTCATTGCCTGCCCGCTGAGACTTGTCCAGTGTGTGCGAAGCAAGACACGGAAACGGAGAGAACAGAGAACAGAGAAAACAGAGAACGGAGGGAACAGAGAACGTGTGATCAGAGGGATAGAGAGCAGTGGCTTCCTGAGCCTGAAAATACACGATCTGAGTGATTTATAGTTGGGATTCAGCAATCAGAAAAGGATGACTTATTTACTCTGAAGAACTACTAAAATAGTGATTCTGTCAGACAGCAGCTCTGTAGAGATGAGAATAAGGAAGTGGCTCTGGATAAGAGCGTCTGCAGCTCTATAGAGATGAGAATAAGGAAGTGGCTCTGGATCAGAGCGTCTGCAGCTCTATAGAGATGAGAATAAGGAAGTGGCTCTGGATCAGAGCGTCTGCAGCTCTATAGAGATGAGAATAAGGAAGTGGCTCTGGATCAGAGCGTCTGCAGCTCTATAGAGATGAGAATAAGGAAGTGGCTCTGGATCAGAGCGTCTGCAGCTCTATAGAGATGAGAATAAGGAAGTGGCTCTGGATAAGAGCGTCTGCAGCTCTATAGAGATGAGAATAAGGAAGTGGCTCTGGATAAGAGCGTCTGCAGCTCTATAGAGATGAGAATAAGGAAGTGGCTCTGGATAAGAGCGTCTGCAGCTCTATAGAGATGAGAATAAGGAAGTGGCTCTGGATCAGAGCGTCTGCAGCTCTATAGAGATGAGAATAAGGAAGTGGCTCTGGATAAGAGCGTCTGCAGCTCTATAGAGATGAGAATAAGGAAGTGGCTCTGGATCAGAGCGTCTGCAGCTCTATAGAGATGAGAATAAGGAAGTGGCTCTGGATAAGAGCGTCTGCAGCTCTATAGAGATGAGAATAAGGAAGTGGCTCTGGATAAGAGCGTCTGCAGCTCTATAGAGATGAGAATAAGGAAGTGGCTCTGGATCAGAGCGTCTGCAGCTCTATAGAGATGAGAATAAGGAAGTGGCTCTGGATCAGAGCGTCTGCAGCTCTATAGAGATGAGAATAAGGAAGTGGCTCTGGATCAGAGCGTCTGCAGCTCTATAGAGATGAGAATAAGGAAGTGGCTCTGGATCAGAGCGTCTGCAGCTCTATAGAGATGAGAATAAGGAAGTGGCTCTGGATCAGAGCGTCTGCAGCTCTATAGAGATGAGAATAAGGAAGTGGCTCTGGATAAGAGCGTCTGCAGCTCTATAGAGATGAGAATAAGGAAGTGGCTCTGGATAAGAGCGTCTGCAGCTCTATAGAGATGAGAATAAGGAAGTGGCTCTGGATCAGAGCGTCTGCAGCTCTATAGAGATGAGAATAAGGAAGTGGCTCTGGATAAGAGCGTCTGCAGCTCTATAGAGATGAGAATAAGGAAGTGGCTCTGGATAAGAGCGTCTGCTAAATGACTAAAATGTAAAATGTAATAATAAAGTGATGAAATAAACAAGAGATAGCAGTAATGGGACGTCTCTTCCATCTTGGGACTTTAACTCATGGTTCTATTCTGTTGTTACAGCATTAAACTCACTTAATGCATTTAATGTCTAAAAAAAGGATCAAAAACTAAATCCATTATTTTTTGTAAATAATCTAACCGAAACGACCTCAAAAAGCACTAATCGTTCAGCACTAATAAAACACTAGGTTGTAGCCTACAAGCCAGCCAACGTAAAGGGTAATTTCCCATTTTAAGGCTAAATAGACTATTCTCTTGATTTGATCAGGACTAAATAGACTATTCTCTTGATTTGATCAGGGCTAAATCGACTATTCTCTTGATTTGATCAGGACTAAATAGACTATTCTCTTGATTTGATCAGGGCTAAATAGACTATTCTCTTGATTTGATCAGGACTAAATAGACTTCTTAAATTTGATCAGGACTAAATCAACTTTTCTCTTGATTTGATCAGGACTAAATCAACTTCTCTTGATTTGATCAGGACTAAATCAACTATTCTCTTGATTTGATCAGGGCTAAATAGACTATTCTCTTGATTGGATCAGGACTAAATAGACTTCTTAAATTTGATCAGGACTAAATCAACTATTCTCTTGATTTGATCAGGACTAAATAGACTTCTTAAATTTGATCAGGACTAAATCAACTATTCTCTTGATTTGATCAGGACTAAATAGACTTCTTAAATTTGATCAGGACTAAATCAACTATTCTCTTGATTTGATCAGGACTAAATAGACTTCTTAAATTTGATCAGGACTAAATCAACTATTCTCTTGATTGGATCATGACTAAATAGACTTATCTTTATTCGATCAAGAGTAAATACACTTCTCTTTATTAGATCAGGACTAAATAGACTATTGATTTGATCAGTACTAAATATATTATTCTCTTGATTCTCTGTGTACAGCAGCAATAAAACTGGCCTTCTTGAGACTAGTTGAGTATCTGGAGCATCAGCAATTGTGGGTCCGATTACAGGCTCAAAATGTCCAGAAACAAATAACGTTCTTCTGAAACTCGTCAGTCTATTCTTGTTCTGATAAATGAAGGCTATTCCATGTGAGAAATTGCCAAGAAACTGAAGATCTCGTATAACGCTGTGTACTACTCCCTTCACAGAACAGCGCAAACTGGCTCTAACCAGAATAGAAAGAGGAGTGGGAGGCCCCGGTGCACAACTGAGGAAGAGGACAAATACATTAGAGTGTCTAGTTTGAGAAACAGACGCCTCACAGGTCCTCAACTGGCAGCTTCATTAAATAGTACCCGCAAAACACCAGTCTCAATGTCAACAGTGAAGAGGCGACTCCGGGATGCTGACCTTCTAGGCAGAGTTGCAAAGAAAAAGTAATATCTCAGACTGGCCAATAAAAAGAAAAGATTAAAGATGGGCAGTCTGAGATATGACTTTTTCTTTGCAACAAAAGAAATGTTCCGTATTGACTGACTTAATGTCTTAACGTGATACTGGACTGTCCTTTCTCTGATTATTTGAGCTGTTCTGCCATAATATGGACTTGGTCTGTTCTCTCTGCTTATTGGAGCTGTTCTGCCATAATATGGACTTGGTCTGTTCTCTCTGCTTATTGGAGCTGTTCTGCCATAATATGGACTTGGTCTGTTCTCTCTGCTTATTTGAGCTGTTCTGCCATAATATGGACTTGGTCTGTTCTCTCTGCTTATTTGAGCTGTTCTGCCATAATATGGACTTGGTCTGTTCTCTCTGATTATTTGAGCTGTTCTGCCATAATATGGACTTGGTCTGTTCTCTTTGCTTATTTGAGCTGTTCTGCCATAATATGGACTTGGTCTGTTCTCTTTGCTTATTTGAGCTGTTCTGCCATAATATGGACTTGGTCTGTTCTCTCTGCTTATTTGAGCTGTTCTGCCATAATATGGACTTGGTCTGTTCTCTCTGCTTATTTGAGCTGTTCTGCCATAATATGGACTTGGTCTGTTCTCTTTGCTTATTTGAGCTGTTCTGCCATAATATGGACTTGGTCTTTTACCAAATAGGGCTATCTTCTGTATCCCACCCCTACCTTGTCACAACTGATTGGCTCAAACGCATTAAGGAAAGACATTTCACATATTAACTCTTAACAATGTACACCTATTGATTGAAATGCATTCCAGGTGACTACCTCATGAAGCTGGTTAAGAAAATGCCAAGAGTGTGCAAAGCTGTCATCAAGGCAAAGGGTGGCTACTTTGAAGAATCTCAAATATAAAATATATGTTGATTTGTTTAACCCTTTTTTGGTTACTACATGATTCCATATGTGTTATTTCATAGTTTTGATGTCTTCACTATTATTCTACAATGTAGAAAATAGAACAAATAAAGAAAACCCCTGGAATGAGTAGGTGTGTCCAACCCTTTGACTGGTCCTGTATATAAACACACAGGCGGTAAATTAGTTAACAGAACAATATGAGGGTTCCAAACCGCTCGGCCAATAACAGCTAGTTTTCAGTTGGCCCCTCCCCACTCAGACCACTCCCAGACAGTCTAGCAAAGCTCTTGCTTGAGAAATTGCTCTTTGCTAAGAAGCTATTTGTTTATTTTTTACCATTTTAATTTAAAACAATCCCAGTAAGGTAGGCCTACTTAGAGCAGTCTATGATGTCATATTGCTGAGTCTACCTTCAACCGTTCTAATTCCAACACAGAGGCCATCCATCCATCCATCCATCCATCCTTACCTGTCCTCCTCTCCATCTGCAGACTGTGTCCTCAGGCCTGCAGCAGCAGCCACTAAGGCACTGGCATCTCCAGCCTTCCCCATGTTCTCCATGGAGCAGCCTCGTCCTGCAGCTCCCAGCCGGGACTGGTGTTGGAACAGCAGCCTCTGGGCATCCTCCAGCTGGGATGCCGTCAGGCTGGGGATGCTGCCCCCGTACGGAGCCCCGCTTTGGGCCAGGCTGGTGTGGCTGAGGGGCACCCCGTGGGTCAGGAGGGGCTGGAGGTCGGCTCGGAGTGTGGTCACGAAAGGGGCGGAAGGGTGCTGGGGGTGAGGGTGAGGGTGCAGCTGCTGGGCTGGGAGATTCTGGAGCTGACTCGGAAGGGGTTGAGGGACAGCGGCTGGGCCAGGCATGGACACCCCAAGAGAGCCAGGGTGTGGGGGGAGGACCTGGGACTGGAGAGGAGCCGTAGGCTGGATGAAGTCTGGAGGCCGGCTGCCTGTCTGGCTCACTAGCACCGCTGGGAGCTGCTGCGTGGGCTGGCCTGTCTGGGCATGGTCCATAGCATAGGGCACCTGCTTGGGCATGGCCTGACTCCCAGCACCCTGGGCATTCACCTGGGGGGCTGCAGGTAGAGTACCAGGGGGGACCATGCTGGTCTGCTGCAGCAGGAGAGGGTTAGGGTCCTGAGGGACCATGTGGACAGTCTGAGGGCTGGTGTAGTCCTGGTGCTGCTGGTATGGCTGCAGGGTCTGGGATGCCCCTGCTTCCATCTCTGGGCCTCCGTACTGGACAACACTGGCCACCACACTCCCATTCCCTGCTTCCATCTCTGGGCCTCCGTACTGGACAACACTGGCCACCACACTCCCATTCCCTGCTTCCATCTCTGGGCCTCCGTACTGGACAACACTGGCCACCACACTCCCATTCCCTGCTTCCATCTCTGGGCCTCCGTACTGGACAACACTGGCCACCACACTCCCATTCCCTGCTTCCATCTCTGGGCCTCCGTACTGGACAACACTGGCCACCACACTCCCATTCCCTGCTTCCATCTCTGGGCCTCCGTACTGGACAACACTGGCCACCACACTCCCATTCCCTGCTTCCATCTCTGGGCCTCCGTACTGGACAACACTGGCCACCACACTCCCATTCCATGCTTCGCTCTCTGGGCCGGCAGCGCTGGGTGCAGGGGCTGGGTCAGAAGTCGGCGCGGCAGGGGGAACCTCCTTCTCATAGTACTCTGTACACATCCATCTTCCCTTACGGAACGGCTCCGAGTTAGAGTCCAGCTTCACCACTCTGAAGCGAGACCCCGGAGCGGCTTGGGTCTGTGTCTGGGTGCTGGAGGTCATAGCCTGTGCCACCACTCCTGCCATCCCAATCTGGGTGCTATTGGTGGGCCCTGTGCCTCCAGGGAGAGACCCTACTCCACTGGATGTCCCTTGACGGCCTCCACTACTGTCAAAGCTTATAGGGTCCGCAGAGGGAGGGACACCACTACCACCGTCTATGGATGACACATCCATGCCTGGCCCAGCAGTGATGGTACCAGAGAACTGAGTGGTGGTGTTCTCCACCATACCCTGCCCCATCTGGGTCTGGTTGGGCCCAGCCATTCCAGAGGAACTCCCCCCTGCCACTGAGACAGTAAAGGCTGCTGCCACCACATTCTCTTGCAGATTATGCACAGTCCCGTTCACCATGTTGCCAGGCTGCGGAGGACCCCGAGGCTGCAGGGGTTCGCTAGGAGGGCCCTGGGGTAGGGAGTGAGGGATCAGGGGTTGGTTAGGGGACGCTGCGCCTGGGGTCTCCACCCCATGGGGGCTGTTCAGGGTCTCATCCGAGGAGCTTCTCTCCGGGACGCCGGTGTCCCGAGATACGGACACGTCCAGCATTTCAGAGGAGGAAAGGTCTTCTGTGTGGGATTCATCCATGTCATCATAACTCTCTGTGTCGTCCGCTATGCTGTTGTTGGTGCTAACAGAGACCTGGGCCAGGGTCACGCTAGTTATCTGGAAGCCACTCTTCTTTTTCACCTGAGACCCGGACTGGGAGAGGTTAAGGCTCAGGGGGTGGTGGTGTGGCCCAGGGGAGGAGGACCCAGCCTGGCTAGTTGACTGATAATCATCAGTGGGAATTACATTACTGCTACCTGGAGCAGACCCAGATACTCCACCACTACCGGTGGTGTTACTGCCTCTTCTATTGTGGAAAGACATCTTCCTAGACCCAGTAGAATCTCCTGAAAAGTCCTGTTGATGCATTTTGTGACCAACACGAAGCCAGTAACGGGGGACTAGCTGTGTAGCTACTAATGCTAGCTGCTTGTTATGGCCAGACATACATAACATTAGCTAGTAACGTCACTGTAGTCAGAGGTTAGCTAGCTAATAGTTACCTAATAGTTAGCCAACGGTAGCTAACGTAACATAAGCAAGGTGACAGTCCAACAATAAATCACAACAAAGCTGGGACGTCGATGTAATTTTCTGTTTTCAGTAGTTGAGTACTTCCCTCTGTAATTGCGTCTGATAAGCAGTCGATATTGAAGTGAATGCGAATGACTAACGCGTTAGCTCAGACTTGGCCAGAACAACCAAGCTAGCTTAGCTATGTTTTCTATCTAGCTGAAATGTAGGCTACGAAGAGGCATTTTTAGAAACGTTTAAACAACGTCAAACATCTCACTGGCAGAAATATGATTTGACGTCAATAATATAGTGCCAAATTCAGTGCCAGAAGCTGTCGTAAGAGATCACCTCCATCGCTGGCATCACCAGACGTTGAGTCATCTTCTAGACTCTGGTCAAAAGTTTGTCGTCGAAAAATTCAGTCAGACACCCATCACTGGATAAACAACATCCTCTCAGCACATCAACTTGTTTGGATCCATCTAGACGGTTTCTAGCTAGCGTAGTTGTATCATCCTCCTCTCGCTTGGCACCGTTGGCACAACGTTAGCTACCTAGCTAGGGGGCGGCAGGTAGCTTAGTGGGTAAGAGCGTTGTGCCAATCCCCGAGCCGACTAGGTGAAAAATCTGTCGATGTGCCCTTAAGCAAGGCTCTTACCCTAATTGCTCCTGTAAGTCACTCTGGATAAGTGCGTCTGCTAAATGACTAAAATGTAAATGTAGCTAGCTCACTCCGACGACGAGAAGAGAGGAGGCTACTGCGCATGCCCTCACCTAGCTGGCAGAACAGCTGCTTTAGCTAGGATCAGCTACCAGTCGGTCCCTGAAATGACCTCTACTAGCTGGCAGAACAGCTGCTTTAGCTAGGATCAGCTACCAGTCGGTCCCTGAAATGACCTCTACTAGCTGGCAGAACAGCTGCTTTAGCTAGGATCAGCTACCAGTCGGTCCCTGAAATGACCTCTACTAGCTGGCAGAACAGCTGCTGTAGCTAGGATCAGCTACCAGTCGGTCCCTGAAAGACCTCTACTAGCTGGCAGAACAGCTGCTGTAGCTAGGATCAGCTACCAGTCGGTCCACTGAAATGACCTATACTAGCTGGCCGAACAGCTCGCTTTAGATAGGATCCAGCTACCAGTCGGTTCCCTGAACTGTACACTCTACTATGCTGGCCAGAATCAGCATTGCTTTAGCTAGGGATCAGCTACCAGTCGGTCCCTGAAATGACCTCTACTAGCTGGGAGACAGGCTGCTGTAGCTAGGGATCAGCTACCAAGTCGGTTCCTGAAAGACCCTCTACTAGCTGGCAGACAGCTGCTTTAGCTAGGATCAGCTACCAGGCGGTCCCTGGAAATGACCTCTACTAGCTGGCAGAACAGCTGCTGTAGCTAGGATCAGCTACCAGTCGGTCCCTGAAATGACCTCTACTAGCTGGCAGAACAGCTGCTTTAGCTAGGATCAGCTACCAGTCGGTCCCTGAAATGACCTCTACTAGCTGGCAGAACAGCTGCTGTAGCTAGGATCAGCTACCAGTCGGTCCCTGAAATGACCTCTACTAGCTGGCAGAACAGCTGCTGTAGCTAGGATCAGCTACCAGTCGGTCCCTGAAATGACCTCTACTAGCTGGCAGAACAGCTGCTGTAGCTAGGATCAGCTACCAGTCGGTCCCTGAAATGACCTCTACTTAAATAGCTGTACAAGATGGAACTCTGTTTCCCACTCACTTTCATGATTATATAATACTAATAATATATGGCATTTAGCAGACGCTTTTTCCCAAAGGTACTTAGTCAAGCGTCCATACATTTTAAGTATGGTGGACCCGGGAATCGAACACACAACACTGGTGTTTACAAGCGCCATGCTCTACCAACTGAGTTACAAAGGAATCCAAGACTGAAAGGTTAGTGTTAGACTGGAGGTAGGCAGCAGCAGTGAACATTATACACTGAACAAAAATATAAATGTAACAATCTCTAAGATTTTACTGAGTTACAGTTCATAGGAAATCAGTCAATTGAAATAAATTCATTAGGCCCTAATCTATGGATTTTACATGACTGGGAATACAGATATGCATCCGTCGTGCCATTCAGAATCAACAGCCTGATCAACTCTATGAGACGGAGCTGTTGCGCTGCATGAAACAAACGGTAGGTGAGAGGATCAGACAACCAGTCAGTATCTGGTGACCACCGTTTGTTTCATGCAGCGCAACAGCTCCGTCTCATAGAGTTGATCAGGCTGTTGATTCTGAATGGCACGACAATGGGCCTCAGGATCTCGTCACGGTATTTCTGTGCATTCAAATTGCCATCGATAAAATGCAATTGTGTTCATTGTCCTAGCATACCTGCCCATACCTTAACCCCACCGCCACCATGTTCACAACATTGACATCAGCAAACCGCTCACCCACACGATGCCATACACGCTACACTGTCTGCCATCTGCCCGGTACAGTTGAAACCGGGATTCATCCGTGAAGAGCACACTTCTCCAGCGTGCCAGTGGCCATCGAAGGTGAGCATTTGCCCACTGAAGTCGGTTACGACACCGAACTGCAGTCATGTCAAGACCCTGGTGAGGACGACGAGCACGCAGATGAGCTTCCCTGAGACGGTTTCTGACAGTTTGTGCAGAAATTCTTCGGTTGTGCAAACCCACAGTTTCATCAACTGTCCGGGTGGCTGGTCTCAGACGATCCCGCAGGTGAAGAAGCCGGATGTGGAGGTCCTGGGCTGGTGGTCTGCAGTTGCGAGGCCGGTTGGACCTACTGCCAAATTCTCTAAAACAACGTTGGAGGTTGGTTGTGGTAGAGAAATGAACATTCAGCTCTGGTGGACATTCCTGCAGTCATTGTGCCAATTGTATGCTCCCTCAAAACTTGAGACATCTGTGGCATTGTGTTGTGTGACAAAACTGCATATTTTAGAGTGGCCTTTTATTGTCCCCAGCACAAGGTGCACCTGTGTAATGATCATGCTATTTAATCAGCATCTTGATATGCCACACCTGTCAGGTGGATGGATTATCTTGAAAAAGGAGAAATGCTAACTAACAGGGATGTAAACAAATTTGTGTACAAAATGAGAGAAATAAGCTTTTTGTGCGTATGGAACATTTCTGGGATGTTTTATTTCAGCTCATGAAACATGGGACTAACACTTTACATGTTGCGTTTCTATGTTTGTTCAGTATAGTCATTTGGTAGGAAGGATAGGGGGGAAACAAAGCCGTTTCCACCAGTACGATGCGTGCTAAAAGACAGCCCCATGTGCACAGAACTTTATGTTTACCTCATGCATCATACCTGGATGATCACCCACATGACACTGATCCACCTTAGAGGCATGTTCCCCCTGTCCCTCCCCTGCCTGATCTCTGTCCCTCCCCAGCCCCAGGCAACAAGCTATAGCAATATAGCTGAATGATGAATAGGCAATGACAGGAGGTATGGTGTTGGACAGTCAAACCATGAAGGGAGGGAAAGAAGAGGCGGGATGTGAAAGAGCAGTTAGAAAGAAGAGGCTGGGATGTGAAAGAGCAGTTAGAAAGATATGGCATATAGAAGCAAACCAGATGGTTCAGGAGTAAAAACAAACAAAATATAATTATTGTAGAATTTGACTGTCCATAAAATGTGTATAGTATGTATGGGCTGGAAGTATGTATGTATGTATGTATGTGTGTATATATATATATATATATACAGTGGGGGGAAAAAAGTATTTAGTCAGCCACCAATTGTGCAAGTTCTCCCACTTAAAAAGATGAGGGGCCTGTAATTTTCATCATAGGTACACGTCAACTATGACAGACAAAATGAGGAAAAGAAATCCAGAAAATCACATTGTAGGATTTTTAATTAATTTATTTGCAAATTATGGTGGAAAATAAGTATTTGGTCAATAACAAAAGTTTCTCAATACTTTGTTATATACCCTTTGTTGGCAATGACACAGGTCAAACGTTTTCTGTAAGTCTTCACAAGGTTTTCACACACTGTTGCTGGTATTTTGGCCCATTCCTCCATGCAGATCTCCTCTAGAGCAGTGATGTTTTGGGGCTGTCGCTGGGCAACACAGACTTTTAACTCCCTCCAAAGATTTTCTATGGGGTTGAGATCTGGAGACTGGCTAGGCCACTCCAGGACCTTGAAATGCTTCTTACGAAGCCACTCCTTCGTTGCCCGGGCGGTGTGTTTGGGATCATTGTCATGCTGAAAGACCCAGCCACGTTTCATCTTCAATGCCCTTGCTGATGGAAGGAGGTTTTCACTCAAAATCTCACGATAAATGGCCCCATTCATTCTTTCCTTTACACGGATCAGTCGTCCTGGTCCCTTTGCAGAAAAACAGCCCCAAAGCATGATGTTTCCAACCCCATGCTTCACAGTAGGTATGGTGTTCTTTGGATGCAACTCAGCATTCTTTGTCCTCCAAACACGACGAGTTGAGTTTTTACCAAAAAGTTCTATTTTGGTTTCATCTGACCATATGACATTCTCCCAATCCTCTTCTGGATCATCCAAATGCACTCTAGCAAACTTCAGACGGGCCTGGACATGTACTGGCTTAAGCAGGGGGACACGTCTGGCACTGCAGGATTTGAGTCCCTGGCGGCGTAGTGTGTTACTAATGGTAGGCTTTGTTACTTTGGTCCCAGCTCTCTGCAGGTCATTCACTAGGTCCCCCCGTGTGGTTCTGGGATTTTTGCTCACCGTTCTTGTGATCATTTTGACCCCACGGGGTGAGATCTTGCGTGGAGCCCCAGATCGAGGGAGATTATCAGTGGTCTTGTATGTCTTCCATTTCCTAATAATTGCTCCCACAGTTGATTTCTTCAAACCAAGCTGCTTACCTATTGCAGATTCAGTCTTCCCAGCCTGGTGCAGGTCTACAATTGTGTTTCTGGTGTCCTTTGACAGC